GAATTTTGAAACCGTAGGTGCTTTCTCAAATGAGAGTGTTCAAGTCTTGTTGGAATACAGGGCACTTTCGTGGCCTGGTGGACTGCGGATACGATGTCCTTCGCAAGTATCTCCGAGGGCCAGCCTAGACTGTCCATGTTTACCTTGGGCACCATCGCCTTGTTGATGGCACAAATTCTATCATCCTGTGGTAGCAGTAGATCACGAGCAGTGGCCAGTGCATCCGTGGCGAACTGCGGGGCGAGCCCCCGCTTAGTGACTGCAATACCACGATACCCTGCAATGGTCGAGGCAGCTTTGATGAGATCAGCTTTGTTTGCGCGGTCAATTGGCCAAAACCGTGGGATGATGGATAGGTCTTGAACCTGCTCACCTTTTGCGACAAAATCCCTGACAATCAAGTCCCCATGGCCACTCACAGAGAGCAATGGAACACGATGCTTTTGCTGGACCTTTAACAGGCATTGGTGCACAAGATCATGCTTCTCCTTGGACTGCTCTTGAACTGCACGGTATCCGTAGATGGCTGCGTGACCCCAGATTGGGTCTGTGCACACCTCTTTCAGTTGAGTATTGAATTTTGCCAACGGATTGTCATAGAAGGCCTGGAAAACATCTTTGGTTGTAAGACGAGCATCGCGCTCCAGGACGATCTCACAAACTGCAGCAAGAGTCAGAGTAATCGCAGGAGTTGGCAAAGCAAAATTGACCTGCGGAGTGACAACCAATAAGTGGACTTGTCTCTTATATTCTTTATTCAGATCAAAGACAATCACTTCAAACGGTCCAGAGAGGTTGGGCAACTTGGCCAACGGATCTGTAGGATCGATGAGCGATAGGAGCAAAGCACATGCTTCTTTCGGGGTGGTTTCCCGCGCTTGCTGCAAGTTGCCCTTTGAAACAAAAGCAATCCCTCCACGGTTGGTTGATAGCTGCTGTTTCTGCACAAACGGCAAGGGCGTCTTGTCCTTCGCAACAAAGGGGTGGTCAGCTTGTAATTGAAGATCCTCCCACGTACTCCACTGCTTGACCTGCTTTTTCTTACTTTTCCATGGATCATCAAACTGCCACGGATCTGCTGCTTGCATTGGCGAGTCAGTGCTTGCTTGCCCTTCCATACCACCAAGAGAGACAGCTGAACACGGCTGAAGAAGATGGACCCCCAACGAGGAGGAAGAGCCGTCGAACTTGTTCGGCAAACGTGCGCAGCATCGGTGGGGCTCCCGCTTGCCGCCGCGCGCGATCTGATTCTTCAATGATGGTATCAATGATGCGCCTCTTGGGGTCCTTGGGGTTGGGCGCATGGAAGGCATCAGGAAGACGAATGTCAGCAACAATCCATCTGTGCAGCAGTTCCCATCCACACATACCTGGTCGAGTTCTGTTGGTGTCAATGATGATGATAGGCCGGAAGCCAAAGGGTACGATGTGGTCAATAGCGAAATCATGCCAAAATTGCTGATCCCTAGGTGCGACCTGGAGGAAGACCGCTCGGCGCGTATGTTCTTGGGCATGTGCGCAACCCCCGCAGTAATCAGCGAAAGGTCATGATGCAGGACCGGTGGGCAAAAGGAATCCGGAAGAAAGAAAGCCATGGCAAATTCAATCTCATCACTGGTTGCCCACCCTGGGTGGGTGCGGTAGATATTGAGCCTCATTTCCAGCCATGTATCTGCCACAAAGAAGATCTCATGTATATCTTACACCGGCAGAGGTCTACCTCTCTGAGGAGGAGGTCTGCTGCTCTGCTCGGAGATTCCGTGATCGCAATCAGAAAGGCACTTCGCCAAGCCCGGGCGAATTGCACCATCCGATCGTTTGCCTGTGTTTCCCGCCACACCAAGTCAGCCTGATCGACTACTTGCATGACATGTGAGGTATATTGAGATCTCTGCAAACGTTGCGTGCTTCGATGAGATTCGGGAAGCAGCGGAGCACCTCCTCTGGCGTAAAACGTGCGCATGGTGTGCCAAGGCGCAAGTTCATTGTCTTCTGCAGTACGAACCCATCTATAGGCATTTGGTGCAACCGGGACGCCCATACTGTTCATAAGCTCGAGGACAGCATGGGTTTTCCGAATAGTCAATTGCTCTAGCGAGTGATCAAGAACCCTCCATTGTCCCTCAAAGAACCTGACTTCGACAAAGATCCAGTCGAAAACTACCAAAATCGGAACGACGAAATGCTGATAGCATCTTTGGAGGTCAGCAGGCTCGTTGGGGAGCCGGAACTGCGATTCATTGTTTGCCCAAAGCCCGGGAGGACACCAAGGCATCAGCGCCCGCAGAATGTCAAAGTGGACGATCACTTCATCAACAGCTAAAGCACCAGGTTCCAGGTTGAACTGGAGTAGGCGTGCTGTGATCTCATCGTTGTGGATGTTGCAGCTGGGGTGTTCAGAAAGGCGATCCATACCGCCAAAAGCAATAGGCACAACGTTTTGAACCCTGGTGTCACTCCACAAAACATCACCATTGATGAGCATCATAGGCTGGTCCTGTCTACGCTCTACCAGGTTCCTCATAGTGACATGGCATTGTTGTTCAAGCAAGTCATTGCGCTGCCTTGGCGTGACAGACCTCGGGACTTGGCAGATTTTGCACCATCTCAATTCTTGACCACCTGCAAGGAGAACCCACTTGTTGGGATTGACCGGGTCATATGATCCCTGTATAGCCATCGCCGCGTGAACTCCAAGAAGGCTTTGACATGCATCTCTGTTGACTTTGAAGAAGCGCATAGAATTCCGCTGGTATTGGAAAGTAGGGATACTCCCCAAACGATCAAGGTTCGCGTGACAGATCCATTCCGAAGTACCATCCTGCTGAATAAGGAGGATCTTAGCAGCATGACGCGGCTCCTCATCCTGGCACACATATTCGGCCGCATGAAAAATACCAGCTCGATGAACATCCTGCAGGCGGTCAAATTCAGGGTCAGCCTCTTCACCATTCCATGGCTGTGTAGGAGACACGATTGGGTCATCCTCATGGTTTCGCATGTCTGTACGGATCACTTGAAGTGTGCAAAGATTGAATGAGCCAATCTTCAGCGTGATGTCTCCATCAGCAAGGTCATCCCAAGACACATCACCCGGAAGCATTCTGCCATCAATACTGAGTTGAAGTAGGTGAGCATGATGATCTGCCAAGTCCAAGCTCGACAGCAACTACCTTCAGTGCCCGGAATGTTGAGGGGAATAAGCGTTGTGTCTGTGACCCACCAACCATGGTTGCCAAGTTGCAATACTTGGAATGGCCTTGGCTACAAAGTCGGCAAGGGGCTGTAAGACATACATGTCATCACACACTCGGATCATTGCCTTATCAGAGGTAAGACGGTCTTCCCAACACTGCTGCACAAGCGCCAACTTCTGAATGTGCTCACCCGTAATACTGTCCACAGCAAAAAGCAAAGCAACTGGTGGGGCGTGAGCTGTCAGGCTTTGGGCCTAAGCAGCTCGGGGGAGCTTCCTTGAAGAAGCGCGAGCTCTCCTGCGTCCTTACTAGTAGCTACCTAGCTACTAGCTCCTACCTCCACTCTTGCGGCCCATGTTTTACTCAGCAAACGACTCAATGGGCCCCATGGGCCGAGGACGGGCTTCGGGGATCTGTCTTCGATGGCCCCTACCACTCCGTGTTCGGCGACCGTGTCACCACACTGGGAAAGCCCTACCGTGGCTTGGTTTTGGGGTCTTGGCCGGTGGATGGGTTTAAGCAGTTTGGACGAGGACTTGAGGGAGAGCGGCATGGAGAACCACGCGGATGACCTGATGTCTGTTGATGTCAACCACAGTATGACATTTTTAAATTGGTGCAATCTTTTTTGCATGTCCGAGTATCGGACGCCTTAGTTGCCTTTTTGTCCGCAGTTTGTTCTCAAGTGATTCTAGAAGCACCTCGCTGCTCCTTCTTTGCTTGTGAGCTTGGGAGCTTGGTAGAACGCGCCTTGGGCCGCACTGGGCTTGTCTCTGAGTTTTATATGAGTGCTTTAAGACCAGATTGAAAATCAGGGCAAACCATATTCTTTGGTGGGAATGCTGGCTCTACGGGGCTATTCAGGGAAACTCACACAGGGGTCAGTGGCTTCAAGGAAGGCAGAATAGAATAGTGAATAGAGGTCAAAACATGCAACAGGCCAGGCGGACGACATATATTCATGTCATTCAGTTCCAGTCCAGAGTTCCCCATCATTGCCTGAGCAAGACGACGTTTCTGCCAAAAAGACGGCGGACTGCAAACAAGAGTGGTGAGTCCACCAACCAACCGATCAATGAGCCTAAACCGTCCTCCAAGCCTCATTCTCATGAAAAAGATTGGCCCTTGCAAGCCTTCAAAACATCAACCTTCAAAGGTTTGAGTATATATATATAGAGAGAGAGAGAGAGAGATGGAGAAATTAGTCAGCCCCCAACATGAATCTGTGCTCACTGCCCCCGCAGCTGTGGTTTCAATGTTTATAGCAGCAAGAGGGTGCTCGTGTCAGGTGTATGATTGCATTCGTTCACTCAAGCCGACCTTGTCGGAGTCTGACAACTTTGGAGGTAGGTGGTATTGATGTATTTGAGTTGAATATGTTTGAATAATTCATCCACCTACTGTAGCTATATACATACAAGACCCTGGCAAATCCAGCCAAAGGGATCCAGGAACAAGGGATGCTTAGTCGTTTGAGCATGGTTTCATAAAGACATGCAGAGGATGTTGACATGTCAATGGGCCTGTATGGTGCCGTTTGTAGTCCAACGAGTCCCATGCAATACCAGGTCTTCCAGTCTTCTAGAGCCAAGTGATGCGGTTGTGTGCAGCATATGGCCCAGCTCTATCAGTTGTGCGTGCATTGCAGTGCTTCAATTCAAGGGTTGAAGCGGGCTTTTTCGCTGGCATGTGTACTTTTTGGTTTGCGCAGCATGTGCAGAGCAGTGCGCTTTGGGAGGCTCCCTTTGAAAACGCAAAACAAATCCCGATTTGTTGATGGCCACCCTTGAGGTGATCTTCCCCATGGACTTCGTTTTCTTCACAGTCTCTTGGCTGAAGCTCGACGTTTGTGAACACAGGTGAACCACTCAACAAAGTCATGACAGCCCAAATCTTTCCCGTACCGCAAGGCTTCAAAGTGTTTCACCTTTCGCACAGCCACTGAGGTTGACATGGCCTCATCTTCCCGACCCATCCGGGTCCCTAGCCACTGCAGCTCATCGTGCATTTCGGTGAGGAGGTGTTGGTGTTGTGGTAGTGGAAGGATGGAGAGGATGGAGACTCATTATATATTCATCCTCAATTTGCTCAGGGTACAGCAGAACCAACCAGGAACCAGTTTTGATCCAATTTGGCCTTGCTGTTTGACCCACATATAGGAAGAAGCACTCTGCAAAGTGTAGCCAAGTCTTAGAAAGTCCTGCTTAGTCCAAGTACCTTCAGACTCCACTCCTGTTTAGAAACATGGACACCCACGAACAAGAGCTCAAGCGGCGTCGCTTGTGTTGTTCCGCTTTGGCTCAATTGTCTTGGTCTTTGACAATGGCAGTTTCGATTGAAATCATTTTGAAGGAACTGGCCCTCATAGATCCCTTGACGCTTGAGACACAATTTTCCTAGTTGCAGTCCATCTTGAGGTCAAGGGGTTTTCTTGCCCTTGGCTGCGATCGTGGTTGCGATGATGCTGAGGACAGCAAATACGGCAACGTGTGAACAAGAGTCTAGTCTTACATTGTGAGCATTACTCAGATCATGGTTATATATCAGACTTGTAAACTAGCCCTGTGTAGTGCATGTTTTGAACATAGGGACGATTGCAAAGTACTTACTAGGAGCAAGGACGCCAGTAGTAGCTCCTGGCCTTACTACATACTAGTAACAAGAAGCTACTAGGAACAAGGACGCTCTGACTTCCAAGTAGGATGGAAGACTCGATCAGCAATGCATGTTTGTTGCAGGGCTTGGCGTCAGCGCCGAGCACGCGCGACCCGTTCGCTTAACTCGAAAGCCCGTGGCACTCTCCTTACAGCCATGCGTGGGGTGCCCAGTCTTGCCAAAAATCTGGGCTGTAGCTAGTCTGACCTTCCAGAAGGTTAGTTTAATATCGTGTGATTTGTTTGGCGACAGTGCTTCTCGAACCCGGAAACTCTGTGCAGCCCTCAAGGCATTTCGGGGCGTTCTGCACCAAGTGCCAAGCAGGCCAGAGCGGAGAAGCACGCAGTACAGTGCACAGAACTGAAGGAAACAACTTGTCTCGACAGTTATATATAAAGATACGATATCTTCAATGTTTCATCTCGACTCAGAGGTCCTGTTCTTTATTGGGCATCAGTTCTTGGCAAAACAGGTCACACAAGCTTTGATGGAGCCGCTTGAGAGAGCCACAAAGAACTACGATGGTGTGAGGTGCCGCGTCCCTGTCATGCCCCGCAGCAAAGGGTCATCCAAACTGTGGAGGTTTTGGTCGAATATATTGCGGTTGTTTTTGATGCAAGAATCAATTTGGACCATACACTTTAGACTTTTGATAATTGACTCAACATATTCCAGAGCTAAAGCTAGACACAAGCGGCTGCAGATCTCCACGCTTGTGAATCTAGACTTCAAGGCGAACTGTAAAGCTCAGTTTTGCCCACATCACGTCTCCAACTTCCAAATTTGAAGCGTCCTCAGTGCTTGCGGCTATGGCTCGCACGTTGCAGGTCATTGGTTTTTGACTTGAACGTTTTCAAAGTGGGGGGCCGTGTGCAATACTCTTGCAGGGTCCCCAGAGCAAATGCTGGCAGCTCCATTTTTTATGTCAGGTCCTCTCATAACAAAGTCTGATTACTTGGCCTCAAAACGGCAAAGAAGTCCAGGCATTAGCAAGCTTCTTTGACCACAACGAAAGAAGCCCCAAGTAAGCAAGTGGTAGTCTAGTTAGTCAGCATGAGGTAGCTTGACCAGCTAAGTTGTAGGATTGGACATCTTTTTAGGTTTCCCAGCAAACTTCATGGTGTCTCCCTGCAGATACTGACCAGGTGGAGATGTGGGCACCATCATTGGCTTCGATGAGGACGAGGACTTTCGCGTGTGCACAAGCAGCAATCGCGAGACGGTGCCTTGCGTGGTTCAACGCACTTTTGTTTTCCTGATTTTTTTGTGCCAGCTTCTTGAGGGCATCGCAATGCGTGTTCTCAACAGACAGTGTTGGCTGTTTGGAGTACTGTGAGTGGTGCTGCTGCCCCATGATTTGTTGAATGTCGCACGCTGCAAAAGACAATGTTGTTTGCTTGCTGAATGTCAAACTGACTTCTGGATACTTGATGTTTTTTCTCAATCAGTCATCTGCACAGGCTCTTGTGCTTGCACCAAGGTGTGGTTTCGTGAAAGGTGTGTTAAATATTTGAGCATCGGCGACCGTGTCCGATACTCTGATGGCGAAATTGCCGAAGTGGAGGGCTTTGATCCTGAAGGTGCTTGCTTTTCATGTTTGGACTCATCAGGAGATTCTACATACTGTATAACATGTATGAACATGAACATGAACATGAACATGAATGAACATCAAGGCACAACTTGTGACAACATTCATAGCCACCAATGTGATTGCCGAGCTGGAAGAGTCAAAGTATCGGTTCAGCAGGGATTTCCCGTAATCCATGAGGTCCGTAATGTGCTAGTTCAACTAGCAAGAGGGGAGCTGCTAGGTTGGAGGCCATCGCTAGTAGGTTGGATGCCATTACTGCTGGTAGCAAGAAGCTACTAGTCTCAAATTCAGAGAGACCATGTTGCACATGTTTGATGCTCCAGGTGATTTGCTCGTGCTCAAGAAAAATGGCTCCCGTGGCCTTTGGTTTCTGCGCGGCGCGTCTGATTGAGATGAATCAAGCAGTCCAAATGCTCTCTCGCTCAACTCTCCAATGCCCCTATTCTCTGGGTACAGAGTACACACCAACCTTTCTACCAACTAAGATGACCATACAACTCAAATCTCTTGTGAAGCTCTTCATGTAGCAGTTTCTTGGAAGGGTTTTGAATGACCCATGGTTCCTTCCGCGTGCAGCTTGCTTTCTCCGAGTGTCTCTGATAGCTTCCACACAAACTGACAGGCTTCGCCAACCGGCCATGCCGGTGGGGGGATGGCGTGTATGTGCTGCCCAGACATCTTTGGAAGACATCTTTGGTGACATTTTTCATGACCACTTTCGACCGTCGAAACGGTCAAGAAAACTGCCGATGTTTGACACAGTATCGATGCTTGAAACAGTATCGATGTACGCACGCACGCGCACACTTATTGACGCACGACCGCACGCACGAACACACGCACGCACGCACGCGCACGGCTTCTTCAAATATCAAGGATTTGTAGCGGAGAACGCTCAAAAAATAGTATTCTTGAATATTCACGTCGCTTCGCGACGGTAACCGCCCGCACCGCATGGAAGGGGCCAATATTTCCACCGAACATAGCCCCGGAAGTGACCCCCCCTCCACTCCCCAACGTGGCCGAGCATAGGTTCCATGTTTCGAGATAGGGATTTAACATGGCCCAACGTAGTTGGGGGGTTAAAAGACTGCTGCCATTTTGCGGGTCGGGAAAGCGGTGAGAGAGCTTCAGGAAGGAACACGATCTGGAACGGGGTCTTGTGCTCTTGGAGCCAAGGGAGTCAGTATGAAAGGAAGATAGGGACTTGAACGTCGCAAATTGATGTATCTTTTCTCAAGGTAGCTCAAGATCGCGTAAGATAGGCCGGACATTCGGCTCAACAGGAGCAGAGATAAGCAGAGATAAGGTGAATTAACGGCAACGTGTTCTCCTAACGTGGCTCGACATAGCTTCCATATTGCCGAACATAGCCCCAGAAGTCACTATCTGAAGCATGTTCCCTCCAGACCGGGACTGGGCGCAAACATGGCCGAACCGGGACCGGAAAAAAGTAAAGATATGTCCTGTTCGGCCCCCCCCAACGTGGCCGAACATAGCTTCCATATTGCCTAAAATAGCTCTAGAAGTCTGCGAGACTGGAACGTCGCAAATATAAGGCTGAACAGGAGCAGAGATAAGCAGAGGCAGAGACAAGGTCTAGGAACGGTACCAGTTTCTAACGAGCACAGCTTGCAAATTTTCATATTGTCGAACAAAGCCTCAGAAGACACTATCTCAAGCATGTTAGGGATTTGAACGTCGTAAACATGGCCCAACGGGGGCTCAAAATGGATTGGATTTTTGCGCGTCGGGTAAGCGGTGAGAGAGCTTCCGGAAGTGACACGATCTGGAACGGGTTCTTGTGCTCTTGGAGCCAAGGGGTACAGTATGAAAGGAATATAGTAGATTAGAATATGTTCGGACACATGCAATGGACCTTATCTTTCCTTATCTCTGCTCCTGACCACCATTCCTGGACCTTATCTTTCCTTATCTCTGCTCCTGACCAGCCACGTACCCGGACGTTCAAGTCCCTATCTCGAGGAGACATGCTTGAGATAGTGACTTTGCAGGCTTTTCCAGTCCCTTTTGAGCCCTCGTTGGGCCATGTTTACGACGTTGAAGTCCCTATCTCGAAGAAGCATGCTTGAGATAGTGACTTCTGGGGCTATGTTCGATCATATGCACGCTCTGCTCGTGCGAAAATGTTACCGTTCCTGGACGTGATCTCTGCTTATCTCTGCTCCTGTGGAGCCAAATATCACTTCTAAAGCTATGTCAGGCAATATGGAAGCTATGTTTGGCCACGTTAGGGTGGGTTTTCTATTCCAGTTTACGACGTTCAAGTCCCTATCTCGCAGACACGTCCTTTAGATAG